ATGGAAAATACCACACACAGAGAGATTGAAACTACCTAGATTCAACAACTTTACATATTTTGCTTCTTGTGATTTTTTTTTCTCTGTATCTCTGTAGGTCTGTTACAGAGGCATATATAGAGAGATTCTTTTTATCTGAGTCATCCAAAGAGGCAAATAGCTATTGCAGGAGAGCCAAATGCAGTATGCAGGCCTGGCTGGATCTGGTGTGGGTGTGGCCACAGTAGTGTTTAGGAATAGAGTCAGGGAAAAAAGCTACAAGTAGAACGTGCCAAATGAAAAGATTAAGCATCCTGTAGTTTGGTTTGAATAGGGCTAATATTTGGAAACCCAATAGAAAGATAAGTATATTATAATCTCCAGATGGAAGTTTCCTGGAAAAATATAATACCTCAGTGAAATACAAAATATACACAGAAAATTGCAGCAGGTCATAAACATGTCATTGGATGCATTCTGAACATTAAGTTTTTAGCCCTGTAGTAGTTTTGGGAGCCTTGAAGGAAGTGTTTGAGTGGTGAGCACTGGGAAATTTGGAGGCCAGATAACAAACCTAACCTGTTTGTTTCTCATTTAGATGCGGGATTGTCTCCTGACCTGTATGTTTACAACTGGACAGCCTGGGCAGAGGATGGCGATTGGGGAAACAGCACCAGCCAGAGCCAGCACCTCATGTTCCCCGATGGGAAGCCCTTCCCTCACCCCCACAGATGGAAGAAATGGAATTTTGTCTACGTCTTTCACACACTTGGTCTGGTTCTTACAAATTCTCTTAGCCTCTTTATGCTTCTTTAAAATTTGAACCATATCTTTTCTTCTTTAAATGAAATTATAACACTAGTCTGTCTGTTGGCTTTCCTTAGCTGGGGTGGACAATGAAAGAGAGGCGGGAATATTCCTGGTTAACTTTGCCAAGCCTCCAGGATATTAAAGAATTAAAATGAGAAGAAGGAAACAGATTCAGCTCTCTTAAAACAACAAAAGAAGACTAGTCTAAAATAGTAATATGGAAAAATATATTATTTGAATGGCACAGGGGTTTTTGTTTATTCTTTAATTTTTATATTCTCAAACAAAGTAGTAAGAATTAAAGAAGTGTATGCTCTATAGGAAATTTGGGAAATGTAAAGAAACACAAACAAAAACTAAAAGCCACCAATAAATAATACCAGAAATGATTATCATTAAGTCACAAAGTTTCCAGTACTAGTATTTCTATTTAAGAGCATAATGTATACACAGTTTTTTGCTATCACAAGAATTTGATTATATATTAAAATTATGCATTGTTTTAATAGTTGCATAATATGCCACCGTCTAGAAATTGCATAATCTAGCTTCTGTTTTTCCCTGACATAGCCTACCCTCTATTTTTCAAAAACCATAAATGTTATTCACCTTGCTCTGTTGTTGGCGAAGTGGTTATTTTAGGGGGGTGCAAAGTTAGGTCACTATTAACAAGGTTGCTCAATTCTTCCTTTAAAATAGCCCCAGAGCTAGGTGTGGTAGCACATGCCTTTAATCCTACTACTCGCCAGAGGCAGAGACAAACAGATCACTGAGAGTTCAGATCCAACCTGGTCTACACAGCAAGTTCCAGGCCAGCCAGGGCTTCACAGTGAGACCCTGATTCAAAAATAATGTCTCCAGAGAGCGAAGTATGTGGCTCAGTGGTCAGGTGCACGGCTAGCATGTGCAAAGCTCTGAGTTAGAATGTCATCAACACACACACACACACACACACACACACACACACACACACAGGTGCCAGCTAACGCTCCGTATTTGAAATGTGCTCCAGTTGAACAACGTCTAGATTTCTAAATGTTTTGTCCTTCCTCAAAGACTGTATGTTTGCTTCAGTATTAACAAGCATACCTATTGAACAAAGTACAGAATAGATCAAATATTATGCTGGTCTGGAGCTGGCTTTTTCCCAGTGCCATCATGGCCCTGTCAGTGAAATCCCCAAACCCATCACTCACTGACCTGCCACTCCCACAACCAGCAGCCATGAGTTTCAGGAAGGGTTGGAGAAGGAAAACTGGAAGATGTTCATGGAAGCGCTCCATTCCCCAGTACCTACCATCTCCTACTTCCCTTCCATCTCTTGCTGCATTTTTCTGCACAAGTACGAATAGAAAGCGGAGGATCCAGTCTCCCCGAAACATCTACTTAACTGAGCTATGCAATACCCATCTGCTTACACCAACTGCTTTAAAATTGTTACAAAAATAAGGTATATTTCAGAATAGAGAACTTTTTTGAGTCCCCCAGATACCTCACATTACATTAAATGCATTTTCTATAGGTAAAATATGTATTTCAAGTGCCAAATCATCTTAACTTGATAAAGTATGCATTTGTAAACTAAAGAGAGCTCTTTCACTGTAACCAAACATGCACAGTAACAAAAAGGTTTGCTCTGTTGGGTTTTGCATAGAGCCAAGTACTGTCTCCTTTTCTGGGGCCTCCAACCTGCTCTCTCCTCAGAGCAACCTTTAACGGGCAGTTGCTAGTCTTTAAGAAATAACTTCTAATGATCATGCCATGTTGCTAATAACTACAAATTCCCTTCCTCTCATAGGTCAGTATTTCCAAAAACTGGGACGGTGTTCAGCAAGAGTTTCTATAAACACAGCCAACTTGACACTTGGCCTTGAAGTCATGGAAGTCACTGTTTATCGAAGACATGGCCGAGCATATGTTCCCATTGCACAGGTGAAAGACTTGTATGAGATAACAGGTGCGTGATAACAATAAATTAACAGGAAGATGAGGCACTTAGTTCTTTTGACTTAGGAAGTTAAGAAAGAATTAAAACCTAGTGGTCTGTGTTGTTAGGACTCATCTGGGGATTGGCAAGATGGCTCAGTGGGTAAAGGCACTTGCTGCCAAGTCTGATGACCTGAGTTCAATCCCTGGGACCCACATGGTGAAAGAGAATCAACTCCTGAAAGTTTTCCTCTGACCCCCATACACACACCTTGGTACACATGTGCATGTATGGGCATGTACAGATGTAGACACATGCAAATAAATATAACTTTAAAAAATAAAAGACTCATCTGGGCCCCTCCCCAAACTTACATATTAATTATGTTGTATCCTACCTGGTTTCCAGACTAGCTGGGGGAAACGCTAGAAAGCTTGTATATGAGAGGGAAAGCATGATGCTTAGTTAGCTCTGAAAACATTGCTATAGTCATCCCTTTACGATCTAGCATTCATAGGTCTTCTTTTCTTCTGCTGTGTCTTCTAGATCAGATTCCCGTATTTGTGACCATGTCCCAGAAGAATGACCGAAACTCATCAGATGAAACCTTCCTCAGAGGGCTCCCCATTGTGTTCGATGTCCTGATTCATGATCCTAGCCACTTCCTCAACCAGTCTGCTATTTCCTACAAGTGGGACTTCGGGGATAACACTGGCCTGTTTGTCTCCAATAATCACACTTTGAATCACACGTATGTGCTCAATGGAACCTTCAACTTTAACCTCACAGTCCAAGCCACAGTGCCTGGGATCTGTCCTTCACCTGCACCCACAGCTCCAACACCCAGCCCTTCTTTCAGTAAGTACTTTCTGGATAATTTGGTGGTTAATTAGTTAGAGACAAGGTCTTTTTATGAAACCTTGTTATACTAACCTTGAACTTGATATGTAAACTAGGCTGGCCTCAAACTTGCAGCCATCCTCCTGCTTCTCAAGGGCTGGAACTACAGATATGAGCCACCATACTTAGCCTTTTCTTGGTGATTTATTTTTCTTTTTGAGACAAGGTTTCCCTGTAGCCACAGCTAGTCTGGAACTCGCTATGTAGACCAGGCTGAACTTGCCGTCATGTAGGTGCTGGGACTCGAACCTGGGTCCTCCGAAAGAGCCACCCGTGCTTTTAACTGTTGAGGCTTCTCTCCAAACCCCCTTTCTGAAATGCTTCAAGTTGTAAAATTAATACACATTTCTTAGTAAAAATTCAAACAAACACCAAAGAAGTCTAGAATAAAAAGTGGAAGCTCCTCTTTACATTCTCCTCCCAAGAATTGAGCCTGTTCATGCTGGCAGTGTTTCTTTACAGACACTCTACATGTGCATGTAGGGTTTGTTGTTTGGGTTTTTATGTGAATGGGTTTGTGCTGCATGCATTGTTGTAGAATTTGCCTCTTTTCACTAAATGAACATAGACATATTTCAGTTGTTGTTCATATAAATCTATCCATCCCATTTATTGGCAGCATAGTATTCACAGGATTTATATAACACCATTCATTTCCACATGCATATAGATGAGCAATTAGGTTAATACCAATTACTATTGCAAATGTAATTGTGCTGGACAAGTTTAGACAGATAGCTTCATTTTAGTATGTTATTAGGTAAACCGATCAATTTATTTGTTTGTTTATACATACATACATACATACATACATACATACAAGGTCCTCCCTAGCCCATATTAGCCTCGAACTTGATATTTAGCTATGCTGGACTTGGTTTTGCTTAAGTGTTCCCGGTTCAAGAAGTATTTGTTTGTTTTTAATTTTGCAGGAGCCCACAGTTAAGAGACTTTGGATTTTTAAAGAGAATTTGGTTTTTTAAAGTATTGGAATTTTTAAGACGTGTGGAACTTTTAAAATTACACTATGTTTTATATTGTAATATTAATATTAATATGAGATCTTGAGGACAAGAAATGGAAAGGTTATGGCTTAGTAGTGATGTGTTTGTGTGTTGACAAGGGATCAATTGTCCTGGATAGTTTCAGTTGTTAACTTGACACACCTGAAAAGAGGGACCCTCAATTGAGAAATTTCCTCTATTGGATTGGCCTGTGGGCATGTCTATGGGACATTTTCTTGGTTTTTGAGTGATATGGAAGGGCACAGCCTACTGTGGGTAGTGCCACCCCTGAGCAGCATTGTACAAAAAAGCAGGCTGAGCATAGATCAGAGGAGCCAGTAAGCAGTGTTCCTCCCCAGACTCTGCTTCAGTTCTTGCCCCCACGTTCTTGCCTTGAGTTCCTTCCATCCAAGGAAGCTTTGGCTTCCCTTGATGATGGACAGTGAGCTGTAAGCCAAATAAACCCTTTCCTCCTCAAGTTGGTTTTTCAGTCAGAGTTTTTTACCACAGCAACAGAGAAGCAAGCTAAAACAATAGCCAAGGATGACCTTGAACTTCTGATCTTCCTGCTCCACCTGAGTGCTAAGGTTACAGGTGTGTACCACCTCATCCACTTTTAAGTGGTGCTGGTAATTGAACACAGGGCTTTGTGCATGCTAGACAAGAACCCTACCAACTGAGCTGCAGCTCTAGCCCCAATAACCAATTTCTTCATCTGCAAATGTTGATAATCTTCCTTATAGATAGAGAGACCAGATGTAAAAATCAAAATAAAATTTATATGCCTTTAACGTCTAAAAAATCTGATTATGTGGTTTAATTTTAGCTTTTCTAATTACATTTTAATTAAACTAGCTTGGTTTCTGGTTTGTTTGGTTTTTTTTAAGACTCTATGGCTAACTTAAACAGATATATTAAATTCCTGCTATCATTTTTCTTAGGTTGGACTGTAAGATAAAAGTCAGTAACCCCTGTGAGTTAGACACTGCCTCTTTTTTAAGATTCATTTAATTTAATTAATTTATTTATTTGGTCTTTTTGAGACAGGGTCTCCCATCTCCCTGTAGCCCCAGCTGGCCTGGAACTCACTACGTAGACTGGCCTTGAACTCGCAGAGATCTCCCTGCCTCTACCTCCAGAGTGTTGAGATTAAAAGCATGCACCGCCATGCCACACTATGTACAGGACTGTATGTGGGTGTATGCATGTGAGTGCAAGTACCCATAGAGGCCAGAAGAGGGCACTGGATCCTCTGCATCTGGAGTTACAGGCAGTTGTGAGTTACTTCATGTGGTTGCTGGGAATTAAACTCAGGTTCTCTTCGAGAATAGTACACGCTCTTAACCTCTGAGCTATCTCTCCAGCTTCAAAGCTGCGTCTTTTTAATTTAAAGGTGTTAAATCAACCATAATCAATTTCAAAATGCTTTCAAGCAGTGTGGAACTAGGTAATGGGGCCTAATGTGAATGAATACAGGCATATCCATGACTTGTTACAGTTTATGTATTTATTTGTGTGTATGGGTGTATGTATGCATATGTGTGCTTGAGTGTGGTGTGCACCACCAGGCCCGGCTTGCTGCTGTTTGTATGTTTGTTGGTTAATTATTATAGATCATCATACATATGTCTACAAATCTTTCCTGCTTTCAAACATGGGGCTCTCCTTCCCTTCCTCTCTTCCTCCCTCCCTTCCTCTTTCCCTCCCTCCATCCCTCCCTCCCTTCCTCTCTCTCTCTCCCTCCCTCCCTCCCTTTCTTCCTTCCTTGGTGCTCAGGAAAAAAAATTGTTTTTGTTTTGTGAAACAAGACCTTATATAGTAGTCCAGGTCATCCTGGAACTGTCCTGAAACTCAATATGATATGTAGCCAAGGTTGATCTCAAAATCACAGCAATCCCCCTGCCTCAGCCTCCCAAATACTGGGATTATAGACGTGAGCATTACACCTGGCAGAGAAGCAAGTTCTGTATGCCTTATTTCATTTAGGTATTATGGTTCAACCTAGGAGGGCATTAATAGTAATTCTATTTTGTTGGTGAGCAAATAAAGGCAAAGAACAATTAAATGATGTGTGTGCAAACAGCCAAAAAGAAGGGGAGCTGGGAGTGAGCCCCAGCACCTGTGACCAAAATGAAAAGATGACTTGCTCTATTGTGGCCAGCTTTATTTCATCATGACCACCATGCCATGCATTTTAATATGGCTTCACCTTTTCATTTCTTCCAGATTCGGGGGCTGTCCTCTAGCGGGGAGTGGGGCTTAGAGTAGAGCACTTGCCTGGCATGGGTAATAACCCTGGGACAAGAGAGAGGAGGGCCAGCACGGAGTGCCCATCACATCCACTGTCTTCCTTCCCTTAGCTGATTTTCACAAATCAGGTTCGCCAGCTCCATTTAAAAAGGGGAGTAGTTTACTTATGTAAGTAAATGACCACAGTACCTTAGAGCTCTTAAATCTATAGGAATCTTCGTGCATTTATTTCAAATTTCTGCATCAATTTAACAGGTATAGAATTTTTGATGTATTCTAAAGAGCAGATGGAGTCTGGAGGAGATGAATTCATGGGCATGATGGTCCACACCTGTAATCCCAGTATTTGGAAAGTTGAGGCAATAAGATCAGGAGTTTGAGACCAACTTGGGCTACGTGAAACCCTGTCTGAAAAAATAAAACAAAACAATCAACAAAAACACAGTAATACAAACGAAAAGAACAAAGAGCAAATATAATAAATGTTATGTTATCTCTGTTATATTCTTTTTTTTTTTTTTTTGGTTTTTTTTGAGAAAGGGTCTCCCTGTAGCCCCAGCTATCCCGGAACTTGCTATGTAGACCAGGCTGGCCTTGAACTCACAGAGATCTGCCTGCCTCTGCCTCTGAGTTCTGGGATTAAAGGCGTACGCCACCACTCCCAGCATGTGTATGAGTGTATTGCCTGCATGTAAGTAAGTGCACCCGTGTCGTGCAATGCGGTGGAGGTCAGAAGAGGGTTTCAGATTCCCCTGGAACTGGAGTTAAGGATGGTTTGTAGCTGCCATGAAACTCACAGAGATCCGCCTGCCTCTGCCTCCCAAGTGCTGGGATTAAAGGCTTGCACCACCATGCCCCGCTCCTCTGTTATATTCTTAGCCACTGTTTTAAACCTTTATTATTCAGCTACTCCAGTGCCTACTAGCAACAGCTCCATGGAACTGAGCGACATTGCTGATGAAAACTGCCAGATAAACAGATTTGGTTACTTCAGAGCCTCCATCATAATTGTAGGTAAGCCTGCAGACCAGTGGGAAAAGATGTCAAAAAGAACCATTCACTTTGCTAGCACCAGAAGGGTCGGGTGTAGAGCAGGGGCACTTGTACTGCCCAAGGTGATGTCCTGTAAACAAGCCAACTGGTTTCCCTGCTCTGCCCACCTACCCACCTACCTTAGGCTTTCTGGTAGAAATGGCCCTCTGGGTAGCCTACCTGCTAATGAGCCTTCCTGGGTTTGGCTCCCACCCGGGTGTCTGGGAATCTGAATGGACAGAAGAGAGAAGGGCCAGCACGAAGTGCCCACCACATCCACTGTCTTCCCTTAGCTGATTTTCACAAAGTCGCTCTTTTCCATGTGTCAAAGGGGGGATAATCCAGCCACCATACCTAGCTGTGCATTTCAGACACTACCCCAAGGTGTCCAGCAGAGAAGACAGGTGAGGACTACAGCCCATCCTATGCACCCTGTTTCCAGAAACAGGGTTGGAAGCTCAAACTGTGCACTGTTTCTGGAGATGGGATAGAAGCTGGAGCTGGGTCAGCTGCCTCTGTCCAAGAGCTACTTGGCCACACAGTGAGCCTGGGGGCTGCATCTACCTAGGAGTCACCTTTTCCTAAACCATCTCCCTGGAAGGGGCTGCTACTTTCTAACACATACCATGCCCTAGAAAAAAGAATCTAGATGGGACAGAATGGTTCTGGGTGATGATGGAAAAGCTGCATGGACTTGCGTGGGAAGCTCTGGGGATAAATTGCCAGGTTTGGTGGGTTTCTGTTTGGCAGGAAGACTGTCTCTATTTTTTTTCTTCTGATTTGTTAAGGGCATTTCTTAATCTGTTCAAGTTTCTACAATGGGGTACCATGGACTAGGTGGCTTATAGACACAGGAATTTATACTTACCATTCTGGAGGCTGAATACCAGGGCACTTCCTGGTTCATGGATGGCCCCTTCTCCTGTGTCCTCACATGGCAAGGGAGACAAGTGAGCTCCCTGTGGCCTCTTCATAAGGGCACCAATCTTATCTCCAACAAAGGTCTTGCCTTCTAAAACTTTAACTTGATTGCAATTTAACATAATAAACTGAAAGCACACATTTAGTGTACAGCTTGGTTTCTGTTATATTTTGACATTCTCTATGGTGCTTGCTTTGCTAGAGGGAATCCTAGAGATTAACATCATCCAGATAGCAGATGTCCTGATGCCTGAACCACAGCCTGACAACTCCCTGATGGACTTCATTGTGACCTGTGAAGGAGGGTAAGAACATGGTCTCATCAGAGGATAGGCCAAATGAGACCCCAGTCTGAACAAAAGGCTTGACCACTAGTCATACCTTCTAGGATGATTCAAAATCCTACATATGAGAAAACTCAGATGACTCAGGTGTTGGGGGAAAGGTTGTATGTATATAATCCCAGTACCCTGGGATTAAGGCTAAGGCATGAGAATCACAAATTTGAAACCAGAATAGACTATGTAGAGAGACTTTGTCTCAAGGGGGTGGGGAGTGGGGGTTGGTTATGTAGCTTGGTAAGTAGAGTGCTTGCCTAGCATACATGAAGCCCTAGGTTCAGTCCCCCATCACTGCATATAATGGAGTATAGCATGCACACATGTAATCCTAGCACTCAGGAAGTAAAGGCAGGAGGATCAGAAGTTTAAGGCCAGCCTTATCTACATAGGAATTTCAACATCAGCCTGGGCTATATAAAACCCATCTTTAAAAAAGAAAAGAAAGGGAAAGAAAAGAAGAGAAAAGAAAAGAAAAAAAGGGGCTGGAGAGATGGTACAGTGGTTAAAAGTACTTATTGCTTTTGCAGAGAACTAGAGTTCAGTCCCCAGCACCCATGTCCCACATTGGGTGGATCACAACCACCTGAAACTCCATCTCTAGAGGATCTGATACCCCATTTTGGAATCCAAGGGCATTGCACTCACATGCGCATGCACGCACACGCACATACACATGCACACGCACACACACACACACTGGCAAAATGCCAGTACATATATTTGAAAAGGCCATAGAAGAGGCCATCATCAAGCACACACTTATTAGTTGAAAAGTGCTTGCTGCATTAAGTGCTGATCAAATTGAACAATAATTATAACTAATTGAACACCTGCCATTTCCTTAGTACCTTACATCTCATCTCATTTAATCTTCACAACAATCCTGAGTGTCTGCATCTCACACAGGTGAGTGAGGCATATGATGATCTAGCAGCTGGAACTTGGCAGAGCACGGCTCACATAGGTCTGGCTTAAACTGGCTCTGCAGCTCCCTGAGGCTCCACCTGGTAGGTGGGACGCCAGTGTGAAACTGTTCTATGACAACCCTCTCTACAGTTCACAAAGTGTTTTCTAATATAATTTGGTTTCCTATTTTGTGCTCATGTCTAATATAATAAACTAAATATAAAACATTGTATCAATGAATTAAATATGTTAACAAATCAACTAATTTATATATGTGACTTAACTAATAGAAATGCATGTGAAGATAGACATAGTAGTATACATGAGTAATGTACACAGTACTTACAAGGCTGAAGCAGGAAGATTGTGAGTTCAAGGCCAGCCTGGGCTACATCATGAGACCATCTCAAAAAGAAAAATGTTTAAATATATTTACCCTCATGTGATTTAAATAAGAATGAGGAGTTCAATTTTATGGAAATGTAATGATTTTCCATTTAAAACTGGCTTACAGAAGCAGGCATGATCACATGTTCACACCTTTAGTCTCAGAACTCAGGAGGATGGGGCAAGAGGCTCACTGAGTTCAGGCCTTCCTGGGATACAATGTGAAATCTTGGCTCAAAAACAAAAACAAAAGCAACCCTCAATATCATCACCACCAAACCAAAAAAAAAAAAAAAAAAAAAAAACAAACAAAACTCTGA